TCAACAAATCGGATCCAGTGAAAATCCAGCCGATCTCTTCACCAAATCTTTACCCCCGAAGAAGTTCATAGAACTTGTACAGAAAATCGGCATGCGTCGCCTTCAAAATTTATGTTAAATTCAGGGGGAGTATTTGAATGCACTGCACTCTTTTTTCCTTCATCGGGTTTTTAACCCACTGGGTTTTTCCTGATAAGGTTTTTAACGAGACAGTACATCCAAATACAACGACATTATACGTCATAATCTTTACCCCTTTAATTTCACACTAATTTTCACAACAAATTTTCAACATAACAAACACCTATTCGAGGATGACCATATAAGGGGGAGTGTTGTAAATTTCTGAGAATGACAAGTGTGAATTGTTCATCCTTGTCATCAGGACATTAATCCAATTCTAGTCCTTGTAATAGATAGAATTCATCTCCTAGCCAACTAGTATGTAGAATTATGTAGAATCATTCTTTGATGATTCATCTCCTAGCCAACTAGTATAAATAGGGTGCTCAATCCTTTGTAAATGTAACTCAGAAATTCAGAAATTTTCATATATTAAAAAGAAGTAATTTAGAGCTTATTTATAATATATCTATCTCTTAAATTTGTTCATCTTCTTCATTTCACAACAAACTACATGTTTTTAATTTCCCCCACTGAGACTATTTATGTGGGTTTAGACAAAAATACTCTTGTAGCTTTTGAAATGTCTTAATTAATAATAAAATCATATGAAAATAATAAAAAACTAAAAATATTAAAAACATAAAAAGATAATAAAAAATTATTAAATATATATAAAATAAAAAACTAAAATTTAAAAAAATGTAAAGAAAAATGTCGCCGCCTCTGCCACACCCAGCTCAACCAGTACCCATCACCGGTTGGAAATCTGTCAACATTTTTAGTAGTGTCATAATAATGGCAGATTCAATGAGAATTTTGGCATTGTGAAGAATAATAATGCCATTTTCTTTACATTTTCAGAAAAATTGGCATTTTTTACAAAAATGTAAAAATTTTCACCGATTGGGGGTGGCGGTGCTGGGAGGTGATGGGAAAGGTATCAATTTTGTTTTTATTTTTTATGGGTTTTTACTATTTTTATTAATTAAAAAAATCAATTTTTTATTTTATGAATATTTTGTTTGTTTTATACTACCTCCGTACCGGTAGACTTTGCCAAGTGCAAGTTAGGTGAGAAATAAGAATAGTAAAAACTGTGTGATTGAAATTTGAGCGGTGGAGAGAGAAATATAGAGAACTACAAATTAGTTGCTTTAATAGAAAAGTGGCAAAGTTTTTTGGGACAAACAAAAAAGAAAAGTTGGCAAAGTCCAATGAGACGGAGGGAATATTTTTTACAATTTTTTACCATTTTCTATGATTTTGTATATTTTTTTAAGATTTTATTATGAATTAAAACATTTCATATAAATTAATACCCTTAGGGTATTTATGGTAGAAATCCATTTGTAGTCCTATTTAGGAGGGTTTATAATGTAGTAGCCCTATTTATTCATTTTAGAGATTTTTTTAGTCCTACCTACATGGAGTAATTTAAAAAATAATTATGATCAGACTTACTTGTATTGATAGACCTAAGAAATATATATTTAAAATAATAGAATCCGAATAATATAAAGATTCCTACCAAAAGTATAATTATAAGGAAGAAAAAAATCCATATTACTCCGTAGTTTTCTATCTTGTGTATTTAATCGGGGGCGTAGGTCACCTGGTATGAAGGGAGTGCCACAAGGGAGAGAGGTCTCGGATTCAACTACAAGCAATCATTGGAGGATATGGGGAGGGGCATGAGGGGGCAAGCGCCCCCACTTTGGGCAAATATTTTTACTAATACGACTTATAATATAACTAATGCCCCCTTCTTTTTTAAAAATAAATACCAATTAATAATAATTTTAGATTAAGTGTTAAAATAAAGGGAAAAATAATAAAAATACCCCAAACTTTAAAGGGGTGTGAGATAAGCACCCCAAACTTGCAATTGTAATTTAAATACCCCAAATTTTATATAAAATCTTATTTTTGCACCATTTTCATGTATTATTTCTTTAAAAATGTAAATTTATGCGCTTAATTGCATAATTTAAAATAGAAAAGTAAAAAGTGTTGCAATTATATAGATTGGGGGTAATGTAATTTATTTCGCAATGGAAGTTTAGAATGTTAATTGTGCCTTCATGAATTCTAAAATATTTTAAATTATGCAATTAACATCATAAGTTTACATTTTTGAAAGAAATAATACTTAACTATGATGCTAAAATAAATTTTTATTTAAAGTTTGGAGTATTTAAATTATATATGCAAGTTTGAAGTGCTCATCTCACATCCCTTCAAAGTTTGGGGTATTATAATTATTTTCCCCTAAAATAAAAGGCAAAGTCTTTCAAAAAACGTACTTGTCTCTAGAAATACAAATATTGGTTGCAGCATATATCACACTCATTTGAATGCAAGTGTGGATTGTTTTAGACCTTTAGGGACACACAGGTTGACTTTTCGTGGTTATAATGAGCAAGAAAGTATTGAGTTTGATGAATATGTTGTCACATTTCTTGCAACAAAAAGATTAAAACATTCTCGAGACTGTGCTGGATTCCCTCCTTAGTGGAGAAATTCATGAGAATTTTATAATTTCCATATATGTCTAAGATTCTCTATATGTGTGTAGAGAAGTATTGAATGTTCTAGAATAATAATTTGGAACTTTCTAGAGAAGTGTGGAACTCACTAAAATTATGTGGAAGTGTGTGGAAGCCTTTAGAACATTTTGAAAAATTGTGCAGTTCTCAAAATCCTTCTAGAAGATTAGAGAAGCTTATGAATACTTTTGGAAGAATCTAGATGTGTAATAGTGTATAAAAAAATTCTAGAGAAGGTTTGATGAGATTAATATATAGAGAAGCTTCCCATTTCTATAAGAACCTTGAGGTGAGCTCTTGAGTGAGTGAAAGTGAGAATCTTCTTGAGAGAGAAGAGTGAAAGCCTTCTTGTGAGAGAAGAAGCCTCAAAGATACAAAGATTTTGTAAGAGAAGAAGCCTCAAAGATATCAAGTGTTTGTGATCGAGTTAGGTAGAGTGAAATAGTTTTAGATATAAAGAGCGAGTGAGGATAATACAAGGTGATATTATAAGATTGAGTCTTTGTATTATGAGTGAGTAGTTAAGTTTACAAAAGTCTATGAGCTCATGATCTTGGAAAAGGTTATGGTCGTGTTTTCCCAACATGAAGCTATTATACAACATTATAAACAAATTAAAACTCTTATGGTGGTTGATTTACTCAGAGTATAGATATGAGTCAAGCACTATGTAATGAACTAATTTGTGCTAACATATTACACTTTTATTTTTTTTATTATATTTTGAGTAAATACACAATAATTCTTAGTCTTCAGTTCGCCCCCCTCGAAAAATCTCTGGCTCCGCCACTGTAAGCAATGACTTGAGATGGAGCCCCGCTCTCTTTATATTAGAGTGAGATCAAAGCTCAATTTACATCCTCCAAGCTAGCTGTCCGATCAGTGGTGGGGCCCCTCAAAAATGAGGTGTCATCCTTCTTTCTATCTGTATTTGATTTCGTTTTTAAAAAAGTACGACTAGTCAATTTGATAGGTACGTATGGCGTATATGATCTGGAATGGGTAGCGATATCATTATTTTTCATTGAATATCGAAGTAAGTTGAAGGGTGAAATTTGCAGCAAGTTGCAAACTTGCAATGGGAATTGAACCACCGATTCAATACGGCCGGGCCGGACTGCCGGAGCAGAGCTTAGCCACCACATCGACCAATCTATCACACGACTCTCCCTCTGACTCAACACCGACGAATTGAAGCGTCTGTAGGTTCAGACGCCAGTAATTATACTTCGTATTTTATTTTCAAAATACTATGGAGTATATCTTTATATGTACTACCTTCATCTCTAACATTAGCACAAAAGAAGATGAAACCATTATTAAAAAAAATGGATTTATATGATTGAATTTGAATTGATATAAAGTAAGAATGATTTAGTTCACAAAATTTTTACTAAATTTGATATGATACAATCTTAGTGAGACATAACAAATTGAAAAAAGAAAAATGAGATAATCTCAAGGTGTGGGAAGGAGAAAGAAGACAATAAAAATTGTTAACCCCACTTCTTCTAAGGTATAACAAGATAATAAAAAAGTTGTAAAACCTACTTCAAAGAAATATGATTGGATCATGTTTGGGAAAAGAAATATGGTTCAATATGAGAAAAAGAGTTTCTTTTTATTTTAATGAGAAAATGGGGCAAATAAGCCCACGTACTAACAAAAAAAGTCAAATAAGCCCTTATATAGGAGGCTATGTCCGACCGTCGCCATTTTGGATGGTTCCCAGTGGAATTTTTTGATACAATTTTTTGAGCATTTTGTTCACTAAGTTTAGTTTACTCATACCAAATTTCAGCTAAAACTTCATCCGGGAAGGCATTCAAATGAATTCTTGAAGATAACTGCGTTGTTTAACTGCGCAGTTATATTCAAAAATTCATTTGAATGCCTTCCTGATTGAAGTTTTAGCTGAAATTTGACATGAGTAAACTAGACTTAATGAATAAGATGTTCAAAAAATTTCATCAAAAAATTCCACCGGGAACCACCCCAAACGACGACGGCCGGACAAAGTCTCCTATGTAAAGGCTTATTTGACCTTTTTGTTTAGTATGTGGGCTTATTTGTCCCTTTTTCTCTATTTTAATCAAAGAATTTTGTCAAAAATATAAGGAGTAATAATTAGGACTGTAATTAATTTGTTGTGAACCCGCCGCAGTTGTAGAATGGGAACAATTCAATATTGCACGTTTCGCGAATGGGTGGCCATGCAAATCCGCCCCACACGAACACACTCCTGACACTGATGAATACAAGGATCATATCCACACATTACATTTCGCCGTCCAGCGGATTTGTCCAAATCATGGAATCACTAAATTAAGGCCGAGCCGCAAAGATAAAAGTAGGTAGGGCACACTTTAAACACTACTCCTAATTTTAATGAAATTTATTTTTTTTTTTTAAAATTGAATAAAGTATTTTTTCTAACAAATTGCGGGTGTCATAATAATCTATTTTCTAATTACTGTATAATTTTGGAATAGCTGCGGTCTCTCCCTAGCAGGTCTAAGGTTTGGTTCTTCCGGCCAATGAATCCATTTTACCTGGCGCTGGGTTTGGATTTGAGACAGATTGATAAGAATCCTTGCCCAAGCTTGACGACATCGAAGCCAAAGTTCGGCGATCAATTTCTTCGTGAGTAGGGTAGGCAAGGGCATGACCACGATGAAGATGACCGCTAACGGTTTGCTACGAGCGCGGGACGAGAAGAGTTGCACGGATTTCGAGCAGGCCAGATGATGATTGACAATGGAGGATCAATTAGAGTGATACCAAGGATACGGCCTTCTCCTAAACCACCGTCATGGGTTGTGCGAGAGGTTAAAGTCTGTGAAAGTTTTCCAATAAATTTTCATTATTTTGTCATTTGGTTTCTTGTTGTCATCTATGTTGTTAGATTTGTCAGTTTGTTTGAGAATTTAGTCTGGTTTTATGTCATTGAGTATGTTTGGATCTATGTGAACATGGATGGCTATGTCAAGCCCGGTACATGGTTAGCGATTCGTGTTGCTGAGGTGACCGCTTCTAAGTCCGATTATAGGGTTTTTAATTGTAGTTGTTGGAGTCTAGTTGGTGTCAGATGTGTTTTTCCTTTGATTGCTGTAATGATCCTGAAACTTATGATATGAATAAAGGCTAGTTTTCGATGATAAAAGAATTGAATAAAGTTATTACTCCGTATTAATTTGATGTCGTCCTCAAAGAAGGAGATAAGGGGTCATATTAGGTCCCGAGCCTCATCCAAAATTTTGAAAACCATTAAGGGAAATTTTATTAACAGCCACATTTTCACTAAACACAGCCCTTTATTCCAAAAAATTCCAATTATACCCTTTTACTTAATACAACCCTCATCAAGTCTAAATATTATACTCCGTACTACGTATATTGTGACACCGCACCCGGATGTACGTGGATTCGAAATTTGATATGTACTTAAATTTCCTAACGAATAAAATCGTGTAATGGAATTGGTATATTTAATTAATGCGTGATTAATTAAATTATTTATCGGGTCCCTAATAATGGAAATGGACTCCCAAATATTTAGATGGGCCATGGAAAGGGCATGGAGTTGACCTGTTGGTCAAACGAGGCCCAATTACCGGTATTGGTAATTTATCGGATAACAGCCCGAAATGAATTTCGGGGACTCCTAAATTAATGTTGGGGAACATACATCTTCTCTAAAGGCCCATGATTATGAGGAACGCGTGATATATTTTATTTGGCCCGATAAAATAAAATATAGTTAAGACAGTCCGAGAAATACAACTTTCGGGGCCGGTTGTACACACCGGGGCATAATGGGATGACCTCCCACGCGAGTGGGGGCCACCCCACGTTTTTGTATGCACTAGTTGACTAAAGGGTAGCTGGAGGAACATGAATTGAGTGGCATGTGCGGACTAGTGAGTGAGGGGATGGGTAGAGACAAACCCATACACCCCATGTCCTCTCTTAGTACTATTCTTGGTCTTTGATTGAGAGTAGATACCTCCCCCCTATCATTGAGAGCCATTCGAACCATACAAGGCAAGAGAGAGCTCAAGGGAAAGTCTTCAACAAGGTCCAAGATTGAAGGCAACATCCACAAAAGAAATCCAAGGAGAAAAGAGTTGTTCTTGAGGTAAGAACACAAGTATTATCCTTTAACTAGTATTATTTTTGTATGATTTTTAAGAAATCATATGATGGATCAAACATGAAGTTCTACACGTTTAAAAGTGTAGAATAATGTTATAAAGTGGTGGTATTTAACTTAGAAGAGTCGTGGAATCGATAGGAGTTGAAATCGCCGGAAACCGCCAAGTATAGGAGGCTGTTCGTAGCTGCAGACCACGAAAGCCGCCCACCTTTTGCAAAAGCCGCCCGGCTTTCGTCTGCTGGTTGGATTTTCCACTTCTAATCGACCTAGAACGAGGACGGATCGAGGGGTTTCGCTAAGGCAGCTAGTTGAGCACATCACAAGGTGAGGATGGCTGACTATATTGCTTATAATCTTTGGGTTAATTTCATAAGATTACCTAAAGTAATTAAATGTGATTTTCATGGATTATTAATGCTTAATAATAATGCCTAAATGAAAATATCATTGTTTGTGAATAGAAGATGCATAACATACAAATTTATGAGAGATTGTGTATGATGATGCATAATAAATGTGAAGGTATAATGATTGTATAAACCATGAATTTTTGTGATAAAATATACTTTTACTTCATGTATAGAAATCATGAATGGATAAAAGTGATATTTTTGATATTGAGATTAAATCGTATACAGATTAGAAAATCCATAGGAATGAGCCTTATAACTATGAGTTAAGGAGCTTGGCTGTTTAAAGATTTATGGATTAGTATTTAATTTACTAATCGGGAATGTTGTATAAAAAGTGATAGAACAAATCCTAAGGACTTGGATTGTGAAGGATGCACCTTAAGTAGTCTTATGAGATGCCTTAAGGTAGGAATGGGTAACCACTAAGTTACATTAGGAGTAGGCCTCATTGGCTACTCAAGATTGAGGAACTCTAGGCATAGAATTTGCTAGTGAGTTAGTATCGTGACTAGAGGAAGCCTCTAGCACGATGAAGAATGACTGGAGGAAGCCTCCAGCATTCGTGTAGGATGAACTAGTATCGTGACTAGAGGAAGCCTCTAGCACGATGAAGAATGACTGGAGGAAGCCTCCAGCATTCGTGTAGGATGACTAGAGGAAGCCTCTAGCATAATGAAATGTGACTGGAGGAAGCCTCCAGCACAAAGTATGTAAGGTGATTAGAGGAAGCCTCTAACACCGAATTTAGTGACTAGAGTAAGCCTCTAGCACGACAAAACATGACTAGAGGAAGCCTCTAGCATGGTGAATTTAATATAGATGGGCGTGGCTTGAAGTCACGGGGAAAGGGTTGAACGTTTTCAAAGTAAAACATGGGTCTTCGGGCCGACTACTTGACTTTATATATATAAAGTAAGTATATTTTCAAAGAGGGTAACCACGGGTTATGACCTATATTATATTATCACCCTATGTGAGGGTCTTGGAAATTGAAACTTTGATTATACTTAGTATAGTTGTCATTGTACTTGTCAAATGCTTCCAAGTACTGACCTCCCCTTCACGGGGGAGGCCACCTCACAGTTTCAGGCAGGAGTTGAGCTCGCTACAAATACTCATTGTTTCGAGGGAGGATCCAGGAGGGAAGACGTGGTTCGTGCTTCCTCCGTTTCTGTTTTTTTAAAACAATTACATTAATGCTCATGGATATTATTTTTGAATAATTATTTGAGGGCTTGTATGCCCATGTTCGCCAAAGTGTGGCATAAACACTTTATTAAATGTTTCCGCTGCTTTAATTAATTATTTTACATTATGATTGTTTATGGATGTACTATTGTGAATGGTATTCAAGACGCCTTGTATGGTATGGATGAGTTGGACTGCGGTTGACTATTCGTACTGTACGGCGGGTTGTTGACGTGCCCGGTAGGTCCGGGGCGTGACAATTTAATTGGTATCAGAGCCTTAGTCCGTAAACTTCATAATGAAGCTTCAAAATTCCTTTTTGAAAATGATTTTGCAAACCATGAGCATAAAGTTTTGTACTTGTAGAACTTTTGGTACTTGAGTTGCAATGTCTCTAATTGTTAAGATGGTACCCTTAACAATTGGCATGGCGGCGACTTGAGCCAAAGGATGTCTTAAGTACTTATCCGTCAATTGACATTTCATACGAGTCTGATGACTCATTCTCAATTCCTTTCAGAAATGGAACGTACCGGGAAAATAACTAGAAGGAACCCGACTGGCCAGGCACCGAGAGGGTCCGTGCAAGGCAGTAGAGGGGCTTCTAGAGTGTCCAGGGGACAAGGCCGTGGAGGCCAAGCTCAGACCGTGAGTGACGGTCATGTTGAAATGGTAAATGAGTCTTATGAGTCCGAGGAGGATTCAACGTATCAACCGGGAACAGAGCCGGTTGGGACCCCATATGATGGGGAATATGATGATGTGAGTGAACAGAGCGATGATAATGACGCGCTTGAAAGAATGGAGGAACTACTCCGACAGTATCAACAAGATCGTCAAAGGCGCCAGGCAAGGCGTGCTTTGGAAGGGGCTTCAAGAAGAGGAAGCCATGTGGGATCTAGAGGACATGTAGAGTCCCGAGTAGATCGGGGTGCTGAGGTCCCAATAATAAGGATCTCGAAGTACCTCAAAGAAGCGAGAGATTTGGGGTGTAAGCCGTTCGATGGAACGGGAGATATCTCCGTTGCGGCAGAGTGGATCAAGAGATTCAACGAAGCGGCTCTTGACATGGAGCTGCTGCCGATCATGAAGTTGAGAGTGGCAACGAGGTTGCTAGAGGGAATGGCGTCCACGTGGTGGGACGGTGTTAAAGGGAAGTATGGTGAGACAGTCACTTGGGAGAACTTCCGCCAAGAATTCTTCAATCAATACTACTCCGATTTCGAGGTGAACTTGAAAAGGAGAGAATACACCAACTTGACCCAAGGAGGCAAGTATACTGTGAGGCAACTTGAGCACAAATTCCGGGAGCTTGCCGAGTTCATACCGGAATATGCATGCGATGAAAACCGAATGGTGAACCACTTCTGGGATGCCTTAGACCTTGACATACGTGAGAGGGCAACACAATTGCCTAATATGACGTTTAGTCAAGTTGTTGAGCAGGGCTTGAAGGGGGAGAAAGAATGGGAAGAAAGAAAGTGAAGAAATGCCGAGGAGGCAAAGAAAAGAAAATGGGAGAACCAAGGCCCCCAAGGTTCCAATAAGAAGGGGAACCACGAGGGGGGGGGGGGAGCTCATTTAAGACCCCTGCACCGCCATCGAGAGGAAACCCGGGAATGAGTGGACAACACTCGGGATCACAAGCCTCAACAGCGCCCAAATGCAAGAATTGCAAGAGGAACCACGTGGGCAAGTGTCGTGATCCCCCGAGGTGCTATCAATGTGGCGATACGGAGCACATGAGGTCGAGTTGCCCACAACTTGGGCGAGCCGTGAGTGCCGGGCCGAGTGGTGGGACCACGATGAGCAGGAACCGGACAGCGGCACCTCATGCAAACACGGGGCACGGTGGAGCTAGCACAAGCAATGCACCGTCCGTTAATCAAGGGAGGGCCCAAGCGAGGGTCTATGCGATTACGGAAGCCGATGCACGTGCTAACCCGGACTCCGTCGCGGGTAAATTCTTGAACTTTTGATGTTATTCCTTTGTAAACAATATAAGTGTTGAAATGTACACGTTGTATAGCCAACCGGGAATGTGCAAGTTCGAAGAAGTGGATGAATATCCACCTGGGACGAATGCCGCCCGGCATTGACGGAAGCCGCCCGGCTTTCGCCTTCGAATTACTTGCAAAATTCTACGGCGACTATGAGGCGCCCGACTTTGACGAAAGCCGCCCGGCTTTCGTACTTGATTTTTGTTAAAATCTTTCGGCGGAGAAAACCGGCCGAGTTTCGTAAAAACCGGCCGGCTTGTGTTCAGGCATCTCCGGTGTGAGGCGCTGCTAATGAAAACCGGCCGGCATTCGTAAGAACCGGCCGGCTTTTATAAATAAAAAGTTTGTAATTCTTTCGGCGACAGAAAACCGGCCAGCTTTGGCAA